TACACAATAAGAGCTCTTGACACACAGAATCCAAGACAGATAAACCCCTCAGGTCCAATAATGAGTAGCGATACCATGAGGGAAGGTACGGAAAAAAGAGAGAGAAAGGGGGAACAGATCGCAATGATCAATGTACAATTACCACCCTACCCCCACCCTAGGACGAACAACAGAAACATGGGTGAAGGGAGACAGCGTATAGCGTAAAATAGGAAAATAAAAATAATTTATAAATTATCAAGGGTTCACAAGGGTGGAAGGGGGGGAGGGGGGAAAAGAGGAGCTGATACAGGGAGGATTCAAGTAGAAAGAAAATGTTTTGGAAATTATGGCAACATATGTACAAATGTGCTTGATACAATTGATGTATGGATTGTTATAAGAGCTGTAAGAGCCCCCGATAAAGCAAGATGGCCTAAAAGTTCTTTCCTGCTCCAAAACACGCAGATAAACTTTGCTACCCCAAAATTCACATGCCCTGCCAGGCACAGGGCCGGGCAATGCTTTCATCTGTCTGTTGTGCATAGGGTCGCTAGGAGCTGGAACCTACCTGACGGCACCTAACAATAACAGCAGGCCATCTGATTGTCTGTTCTTTAGCACTACCTGCTGGAAATCTACCGTGAAAAACAAACTAGCAAATACACCATCGAGAATGAGCAGACTTCCCAGTAGACCTCTGCATGCTCAGAACCACAGACCTGCAAAGATACACAGCACAAATGGTTTTCATCTGATTCTCCTCCAGTGCTGAGGGCAAATAACGAGGGAAAATGCTGACCTCCTTTCCTGCTGAGTAGATTAAAAAAATGATAGAGAAAAAAGTGTAGGCAGGTACCTAATACTATACATATATAGTATTATAGAGAGACTTTATAGGGGGAGGGAGGGGGAAAAAGAGGAGCTGATACCAAGGGCTCAATAGAAAGTAAATGTCTACAAAAGAATGAAGACAACCTATGTACAAATTCGCCTGATGCAATCGATGCATGGATTGTAGCAAGAGTTAAGAGTCCCCAATAAAATGATCTTTTAATTAAAAAGAAAAAAGAAACACAACCAACCAACAGGTCTGATATTAAATTAAAAATCAATAGTACTGAAGCATGTTGGTTAATTTGTCAAAATGTTAAAGCAGACTGACCCAGTCTGGGGAGTTTGTAATCATGAGAGAAAGGCAGAGAATATATTTTTAAAAGTCTGAAGTAATAAAAATTACTACATGGTTTTGGGGGGGGAAATTATATATATATATATATTCATCTGCGTATGCTTATATACACATACTAACTTTATACTCACCAAATATTAGAAAAATCTCAAGCTAAACTTATATACAAGGAAGCATAAGAAAGCAACCCCAGTGCATGACTGGAACTCATCTCAGTGCCACGCATAAGGAACCACCGAGAAAGAGAACCTTAACTCTTATGAACTTTGCACTTTAGAACTGACACCATCCAAAAGAGCAGGTGCCTTTCAATTCTTAGATGACTTTGGAAGCATTTTAAATAGCATTAAGTAAAGAAAGGGCCCACCACCCATCTGTCAGTTTATCACACTATGGTGGCTTGGTGTGTTGCTCTTACACGTGATGCTATGCCACAGCTACTTCAAATATCAGCAGGCTCACCCAGGGTGTATAAATTTCAGTAGGATGTCAAGACTAAGACAGATGAGCCTAAACAGCTTGCGCGTTGCTTTTGAACACTTGAAGGAAAAACTCGATTCCAAGTCATAGTGGGCCTCCAAGACAGAGTCGGAGCCCTGGTGGTGTAGTTGCTGTGAGCTGGGCTGCAATCCAGAAGGTCAGCAGTTCAAAGCCACCAGCTGCTCCACGGGAGAACGGTGGGGTTTTCTACCCTGTCCTATAGGGTGGGGATGAGTCGGCATCGACTCAATGGCAGTAAGTGAAGACAGAGTAGAACTGTCCCTGTGGGTTTCCAAAACAAAATCTTTACAGGAATAGAAAAACCTCATCTTTCTTCCTCAAAGCAGCTAATAATTGTTGAACTGCTGACCTTGTGGTTAGCAGCCAACTAGTAAACCCACCATGCTATGAGGGCTCCTCTTCGGAAAACTAGCCATTAAAAACCCTACACATCCCAAACAAAAAACCCTAGTGGCATTCGTGGGAAAGCATGGGGCTGCTAACCGCAAGGTCAGCAAATTCAGCCCATCAACCCTTCTGTGGGAGCAAGCTATGCCTCTCTGCTCCTGTACAGATTCACAGCCTTTGAGTTGGCAATGAGTGAGAGGGAGGGGGAATGCTGTGGGATAGAGTGCTGGAGGATGAATCGCCAAGGTTGGATGGCACTCAAAACACAGAGTAGCCAAAAAAAAAAGGGCTGAGCATGTGACCCCTGTGACGCAGCCACAGGGACAGGCAACATTTCTCCTGGCTGTGTGCGGGGTCTCCATGAGTCAGAGGAAGCCAAATGGCGACAAGTTCAGGCTTCTTCTGTTGGCATGTCACGGAAGCGGCCATAAAG